CCAATTCCCAAATCAATAAGACAGTTGGTTTAATTACTATTGGAAAATGCTTGTCATTCCTTTGTAGCATCTGGTCCCCACTGGACCCTCATCATTTCCCTCACCTGCTCCCCCCACTGACCAAACTGTGCAGCTCTGCAACTGCACCCTGGCCCATCCTCACCCTTCTGCCCCTAACCCTCACCTCCTTGTACCCCCAATATGTTTTTCCCAATTAAAAAAAATATTTAAAAAAAAGAAAAAAAGATAACAAAAACAAAAAAGTGAATGTGCTAACCTTCTGCACTGCCCAGTAGACTTCTAGATAGACCCAGCTCTGCTCATGTGGGGAACACACATTGGTCAAGCAGACACCACAAATAAGTCAGCATGAATAAGCAAATTCCTACTCTTCCAGGAAGCCCTCTTGGGTTACTCAGTCCCTACTGCCGACTCTGGCCCTCTACATCTGCAGTGCTCCGTCATGGACTTGCTGAGCTGAGGGATCCTGCCTGGGGTTGGGCAGGAAGTGAGAAGTTTTGCTAAGATACTAGTTACTTGGATCTGGTGCTGACTGTTGTGTTGTGGCCTCAAATTGGCCCACCCCAGGAATGGAGAACCCCAGCTCCACCAGCCCCGTTCAGTGATGTCCACTCAGAACTGGCTGGTTGGCATCCAGGGAAGTACTGGTGGCTTCCTACCCTGAGGATGGAGTCAGAAACAGACAGCTATCACTTCTAGAAACTCTCAGAATTTGGTCACAGAAGCTTGAAGTCCTGATCTCAGGAACACTGAGAAATTACTTGGGAAAGAAAACAATGCCCAATTGAATCACCATTAAAAAGAAATAAGTAAAGGTTTTTGGATTACAGGTTATAGAGCTGCAAACCTGATCATTGGGCCAGGCCCCTGCATCTTCCTCTGCTGCCTGTACACCTCCTGTTTGTCTGGTTCAGTCTTCGGGACCCAGGACAGGAACCCTCTCTGCCTCTTTAGACCCAGCTAGCATATGTGGTCCTCCACCTGGTCAGGTCTGTACTGTCCCAGGAGAGTCCTACCAGGCAGAAAATAGGTCGAGCATGAACCAATTCCTGGGTCCTGGGGAAAGGAAAGCCCTGGCGCCTGGGCCCCTGGCTTACCCCCTCTGCCCTGGCCTACACTGTCCCTGGCACCTGAGCCATGGCAATGACCCAGTGCCCCTGCCAGGAGCTAAATTTGGGAGCTGGCTGCTAAGTGTCCTGGCCCTGTCAGTCCACCTCCTAGATCTGCGGAGACAGCCACCATGGTCAGTGGGGCCAGGGGTAGGGTGGGCTGGAGCCGAGTGTCCCCCTACAGGAGAGTCCTGGGGTCTGTGAGGGTTGAGCTTGGAGGGGCAGCAAGGAGGCTCCTGGGGTGGCTGACCCCTGGTTCCATCAACTTGGTGAACCACTTGCCCATATGGTCTACCCTTTGGGGCCCTGTGGGTGCAGCCTTGTGTCCTGGGGCTGGGGGCACTTCAGAGATTTTCTGCAGAGAAGGAGGTGGCAGAGGGGACCATCCAGGCCTCAGTCTGGGGCGTCTGGCCCACTCCTCCAAGTCTGGGCTCAGGGAATCCCCATGTTGACTTCCCTCCCCTCCTCCCCTCCAGTCCCACCGGAAGTTCTCAGCTCCTCGGCACGGACACCTGGGTTTCCTGCCCCATAAACGGAGCCGGCGTCACCGGGGCAAGGTGAAGACATGGCCACGTGATGACCCCAGCAAGCCCGTGCACCTGACGGCATTCCTGGGCTACAAGGCGGGCATGACACATACCCTACGCGAGGTGCACCGGCCAGGCCTCAGTGCGTTCTGGGGGGCACTGGCCAGATCTCAGGGCAGCCATCGGGAACACTGGCCAGGCCTCAGGGCTACTGTTAGGTGCACTGGCCAGGCCTCAGTGCATCCCTGGGGGACATTGGCCAAGCCTCAGGGCAACCATGGGGGAAACTGACCAGGCCTCAGGGCAGCCAGGTGGGGATACCGTGAGGGAGTGGGGGCCAGCACTGTGCTCTCAGGGCCTGGAGGAAACTGAGGCTTTACTGGTAGGAAGAAGGATCTGACAGGACGGGGCCTGCCCACCATCTCTACTATGCCACCTCCATTATGACCTCCGCTGCCTCACTTCACAGGCAGGGAAATCGAGGCAAGAACAGTTGAAGAACTTAAGTGGAGGAGCAGGGGTTCAAATAGAAATACATTATAAATATTATAATGTAAAACAAAAACAACCTCCACCTACCTTCCAACTCCTAGCAAGTCCCTAGAACAGAACGGCTCTGTAGTTTCCAAGGCACTGCATCTTTACAGGAGCACTCTTTTTCTCCTCTTTTCTGCTCAGAGCTGCTGTTGGGGTTGAACCTTCCACCTTTCAATTATCAGTCCAGAGCTTAATCCACAGGACCATCAGGGCTCCTCCCACCCTCCAGCAACCACAGATCAGACCCTTGTGTCTCCTAATCTCTTCCCTAAATGGCTGTTTTTGTTTTGTGTCTAAAAAAGGCTATCCAAGAAAGTCAGGATTTGACACTTGCTATAGCTTTCCTTAGAACGCACCAGAATACATTAATAAACTATTAAAATAAAGCCTGCTCATTCGCACCCAGCTTCCACCTCTGGGGCTTTTGGCCTTGGGTTCTCAGAGCCCCCCTGGAGGCTGGGAGCCAGATCAACTTAGGCTCTTTGGGCAGGAGAAAGAGACAGGAGGGACAGGGACAGTGGTGGGCAGGGAGCAGGCTGGGGTCAGTATGGACATCCTGGGGTGAGGGGGCCTACAGGTGGTTCCTCCACTCCATCCCTGCTCCCCGTGGACTTCAGGAGGTGCCCACCACACCCCTGTCCAGGAGTGGATTGCCCAATAAGGAAGGCCAGCATGGGCCTATGTGTGCTTGCTCTCTAGTTTATGGTGAGCAACTCCGCATTTGTGGTGAAACTGTTCACTGCAGAGTAGTGAACACTGGTAAGTTTGCACGTACCTTGCTGAACTGGTACCTCGTCCCTTCAGGGACTGTCAATTTGGCAACAGGCTCTGATTCAGCAGGAATGTGCTATGGGCTTGGAAGACAGGTGGTAGTGCACCTAGAAACAGATTTAAAAAAGAATTTATTCAGCTCTGAATGAAAATTTAGAGCTTTTTTATTTCAATTTACTCACTCATATGAGTTTTGTGTGTTTAAAGAACTTTTTGTATTGGTTTGCTTACAAAGTTTGTATACATTGTGTATACGCGTCTTCATTCACATTGTGTTTCGTACAATCATTCTCATACATTATGCTTCTTTTCCTCATGCATTATGTCCATTGGACTTTGACCTTGCCTGCCCATCATCACCCTGTCTTTCCCCCTATCCTTCACATGTACTTCCTCTCCCCTCCCCCACCAAACTGTGTAGCCCTGTGGTTTTAACTCTACCTAGAGGAGTTTTGTTCTATAGTACCGATCTCAGTCCCACATCGTAACAACACTCTTCTCACCTCCTCCTTGTGTTTCCTAGTTCCATTCATCCTTCTCTCTTACCCCTTACTGTCTTCTGCACTTCCTCCCCAAGGCAAATGATGTCTTATAAGTAGAATCTTTGATGTGACTTAAAAAAAAAGTGGATTTCACTGAAAAGTATAAATAGGACTGTGATTACTGATTGTATGGTCCACTTTTGCCTCTGTCTCCAGAAATTTCCAAGCGGGAGGAGGTGGAGGCAGTGACCATAGTGGAGACTCCGCCCCTTGTGGTGGTGGGCGTGGTGGGCTACGTTGCTACCCCTCGAGGCCTTCGGAGCTTCAAGACCATCTTTGCGCAGCATCTCAGCGACGAGTGCCGTCGGCGCTTCTACAAGGACTGGTGAGGGACCTCCGGAGACAGCCAAGGGAACTTCCATTCCCATTCTCTGAAATCCCAGCTCTATGCAGGAGTGATGATGGAGGGAGAGAGGAAAAGGAATTTTAATAAGGTGTGGAAGGCAGGGGAGTGTGCGCATATGTGGTGTATATGTACATGGGTGTGTGTTGCCTTCAGAGGAACAATATAAGACTGACAAGACAGTCAAAATGAGAAGAATTACGAAAAGAAACAGGACGTAAATTTTCTAATCCTCAGAATTGACAGGACGGAATGTCAGATTTGGTGCTGGGCTTCCTAGCAGCCAAGGTGAAAATGGAAACTAGCAGCTGAAGGCTCTGTCATCAGGAAAGAAGAGGCATTATCAGGCCTCACATCATTGTGAAAGGCCAGACCCAACTGCGTTGGGATCCTGGCAAATGCCTCTTCTCTCCCTTTAAAGCAGAGGTACAGCCCATTACTTCTAGTGTGTAGTTGAGTCCCAGTTTGTTCCAGGAGGTGACAGATGTGGGCTCTGAAGTCAGACCAGGTTGTGTCAAAATGAATGAACCAGCTGACTCTTAAATAAAACAAGGCTCCCCGTCATGGGGCTGTGAGGGTTAGATCAGTGAGGTGTGTGATATACTTAGCAGAGGACACTCTCAGGGACCACCTGCTGATCTCATTCATGCAGTGCTACCCATTTGCCTCTAGTCCAGAGCTTTCACTTCTGTGAGCTCCACTTTCTGTATCTGTGCAATGCACTAGTCATTCCTGCCTTCAAGAGTTCCTGGTTACAGTAACTCTGCTATTAAGTTTTGCAAATTTTATTTTTTAAACTTTTTGTTGTGATTCAACAGCAAGTTTAGAGAGCAATTTTGTTTTCTAGTCAATCATTTTACAGATTTTTAAAATTATGATTTGAGTGAAAGTTTGCAAAGCAAATGTAGATTTTATTTTAGAACATCAATTATTACACTTAGAATGTAGCTGTACTCTTCCTGCTTCCTCCTTGTGATTCTCTTTCCCACCAATCCTTCTATCTTGCCCTTTCCTGCATTTTGGCCTTATCCCCTTACCACATGCTGTTCTTTGCACCTTGATAGTTAGTTTTTCTAAGGAGTGAATGCCTCTCTGGTGTTACTACTGGTCTCCTTATAGGTCTGTCTATTGATTGGATACAGGTGAAACCGTGGGGATGAGTTTAGTTCCAGGTTCAAAGGGTGCCTAAGGGTGGTGGTCTTGGGCCATTTTTAAAATGTTTTTTAGCTTTGTTCCACATTTCCCCCATACAACTTACATTCTTTGGCTTTAATTACAGACCCCACACAGTAATGACACTTCCCACTCCCTCCCTGTTATTCATGTTTTCTTTCATCCTAGCTTACCCTGTTCTGCTTTCTGAGCTTTCTCCCTGGTCTCCCTTTTGATCTTGTGTGATTGATTGTTCTAAAGAGTGAGTGTGTCCCTGATAGTATTGTTCACCTTTTAAAAAACCTTTATTTTATTCCCCCACCCCCTACCCCCATTGTGTACCATCAAATCAGATCCGACTGGCACAGGAGATATTCCCTCCTTCTCCAGCGGAGCATCTGGTGGATTTGAACCATGAGCCTGCGGGATTGCAGTGTAGCTTCTTGCCACTAGGCCACCAGAGCTCCCTTAATATTGTTCACCTTGTAGATATGTCTGCTGTTTGACTGGCAGTTAGTTGAACCATCGGTTTCGTTTAGTTCCAGATTCAAAGGGTGACAAAGGGCTGTGATCGTGGGGCTTTCACAGGTTTCTATAAGCGCCATAGTGGCCAGGTCGGTTGGACTCCAGGTGCCTGGACTACTCTTCTCCAAGCCCCCACCCAACTACTGCTCACTATTACTCTCTAGGATGGGGAGAATGCACACGTTAAACTTGGTTAGACACTCAGTGACCTGGAAGGACAGTAGAACTTCCCCATAAAGTTTCCAAGGCTGTAAATAATTACAGAAGCAGATTGCCACCTCCTCCAAAGAGTGGCTGGTGGGTTTGAACCACCAACCTTTCAATTCACAGATGAACTCTTAGCAATTGTGCTTTACAGAAGGGGAAGACTGGGCTGACAGATGGAGATGGGGTCAGCCTCAGGTCTCCCAGGGTGGTCCCAGCAAGGGTACAGAAGAGAGGATATATTTCTCGTTCCAAGACCCCTTCCCAGTGGGTTATGATCAGGACAGGGCAGGCGTGGGCCCCGCTGAGCCCCTCCCCGTGTGTGGTTCAGGCACAAGAGCAAGAAGAAAGCGTTCACTAAAGCCTGCAAGCGGTGGTGTGATGCTTCTGGCAAGAAGCAGCTCCAGAAGGACTTCGCGGCCATGAAGAAGTACTGCAAAGTCATCCGTGTCATTGTCCACACCCAGGTCAGCCAGGGGCCCTCCGGCCACCCCCACCTCCCTCTTCCCAGGAGCCTTGCGAAATGTCAGGCTAAAAATACTCCAAGCCCTGGGCCAGGGAGCTTGCTGCTTGGTCAGCTGACCACACTGGCTGACACAGCCCAAAGTTCTTTGAGGGGCCTTGGGCTTTCGGCCACCACCTGGTCAGCCTCTCCTGACCTGGGCTGCCTGCCAAAGGTCTAGCCTGCAGGATTTTCTGCCCCCTGGTGGACGTGGGTGGATGCATAACTAGCACCCTCTTGGCTTTTTCTGGAACATTCTCTGGGAGTCTTCCCTTGAAGGAAACCTTCCTTTGGCCCTGGAGCCGTGATCTTCAGTCCCCCTTCCTCTCACTAGAACCCCCCACGTCCCACTGAGCACAGCACCAGCCTATTCTAGCACTCTGCAGCCCCTGGTGAGTGGTGTCCAGGGCAAATGGCCATCTTCCCCGCTGTGCTTGAGCTCCACAGGGGCAGAGTCTGTGGAGGCGGGGCCTCACACCCACCAAGGGTGCATCAGAAGGAAACCCTGGCCTGAGTCATCCTCCCAGTCTCTCCTCCAGCCCATTGTTGTAGCTACTGTGAAATCCACTTTGAGAAAATGGTGTCCCTTCTGAGGGCCCATGGAGCACCTCTCTGAGTGGTCACTGTGTTTTTGACAGTCATTCGGCTGGCTGGTGGCTCCAGGAGGGCCAAGACCTGCTCATGCCATTCCACACTATAGCACACGACACACGCTGGAGCTTGGGGATGGCTGTTGGATGAGTACAAGCAGGAAAGCTGGCAGTATTTTATCTGCAGACAGGTGTGACTGGTTGGCTGTCCTGTGTCTGCAGATGGCTGATGTACTGGTCACACCACATATTTATTTATATGAAGATGTGACCTGCCAGGACCCACGAGCCATGCTGTGTCTATAGATGATCATGTGACATACCAGGACCTGGCTGGGCACATGATGTCAGTAGATGAGGGTGTGACCTGCTAGGACCCAGGTGACCCCCACCAGTTCTACAAATAGAGGTCCTCAGACTTGGCCAGTCTTGTCAAGTCTACACATGTGGTTGGGACCTGCTGGAACCCACCTTCCACATCATCTCTGTAGATGAGGGTGTGACCTGCTAGGACCTGGGTGGCCACACTGTCTGAAGCTGAGCTGGGACTCTCCAGGACCTGGTGACCACACTGTCTATAGATGGAGGTGACCCCGGGACCCTCCGGCCACACCTCACCCTGCAGCAAGGCAGTGACCCTGTTGGAACCCCGGCCATCCTGATTTACAGATGAAGCTGCTGCCCTTCCGGCAGAAGAAGGCTCACATCATGGAAATCCAGCTGAATGGTGGCACGGTGGCCGAGAAGGTGGCCTGGGCCCAGGCGAGGCTGGAGAAACAGGTGCCAGTGCACAGCGTGTTCAGCCAGAGCGAGGTCATCGATGTCATCGCTGTCACCAAGGGCCGCGGTGTCAAAGGTGGTGCAGGGAGGAGGTGGGCCTCGGTTGGGGGGGGGAAGGTGGCCTGTGTTGGAGGAGGGCTGGCTGCTTAGCTGCTGTACCTTCCTACTGCAGGGGTCACGAGCCGCTGGCACACCAAGAAGCTGCCCCGGAAGACCCACAAGGGACTCCGTAAGGTGGCCTGCATTGGGGCCTGGCATCCAGCCCGCGTGGGTTGCTCCATTGCTCGGGCTGGACAGAAGGGCTACCACCACCGCACAGAGCTCAACAAGAAGGTGAGGCCATAGCCCATGCTCACTACAGCTCCAGAAGGTGGGATGGTGACGCATCGGTGACAAGCTGCTGGCTCCTGAGGCCACTCTGCCCCAATGCTTCCTTTTTCTTGGCAGATCTACCGCCTAGGCCGTGGGCCACACATGGAGGAGGGGAAGATGGTCAGGAACAACGCATCCACTAGCTATGATGTGACCGACAAGACCATCACGCCTCTGGTGAGGGGCAGTCAGTCCAGCCGGGGGGCTGGTGTGGGTGTGGGGCCTAACTGGACACCCTGTGCCTGACAGGGTGCTACCCTGGCTGAAGGGCTTTGGAGGTGGGCTTGGTGGACCCTCCATGGCTCTCTGAAGCACTCTGTGATCATTGAGTAGCAATCCAGGTGGACAGATCCTGCTGCTCCCACCCCTCCACCTTTTGACACCAAGGCTGCGGCAGCTGCATTTGTGGGGTCAGCTGATCTGGGTTCAGATGCCGGGCCTGGTATGGACCGTCTCAGGACCTGGAGGAAGCTGCTCTGTCTTGGTTCTCTAGTGCCACTGTAACCGCTTTCCCAAGGGGCTGGCTTTAACAAACAAAGTTATTTTCTCACATTTTAGGAGGCTAAAAGTTCAAATGTAGGGTGTTGGCTCTAGGAGAGGAGCCCTGGTGGCTTTCACAATGAATTGAGCTGCTAACTGAAAGGTCATTGGTTTGAATCCACCAGCTATTCCATGGGAAAAAGATGGACAGTCTCCTGTAAATATTCACAGCCTCTGAAACTGGCTGCAGGGTCTTTATGAGATGACAGGTGTTTGGGAGTTTTCTGTGGCTCTAGGGATAGACTTTCTCTCTCTGTAAGTTCTAGAGGAAGGTCCTTATTCCTTAAGCATCTGTAGAGCTGGCATTCCTTGGCAATCTCCATGTGCCATAGCCTTTCCTCCTTGTGTCAAGGAGATTCCCAGCACAGACAGCTGAGCCCAAAAGGCGCCACTCCACTCCTGGTCTTCTGTGTTGGTGTGACTGAAGTTGTCCCTCTCTGCTCTCATCTTCTCTCCTTTTATTTTTCTGCGAGACAAAAGATGTTACAGTCCATAACCCAGAGAAACTCCCCTCTCATGAGATCAGGGCGTGTCCTGAGTAAAGGTGTTGCATCCCACCCTGACTTCCTTAGAGCTGATTGGCTGAAAACATCTCAGTACACATCATAGGGGAATGGTATTGTCATTACATCTCAGCCCCATTAACGTCATAGAGTCAGGGTTGACAGCATAATTACACAATCCTGAGAATCAGAGCCCAGGTGACACATATTTCTGGAGACATAGTTTGATCCATGGCACTCTCTGAGCCTGAGTTTCCCCTCTGTATGGACGCAGATCATGAAATGGGATTCATGCCCAGAAAGGAATGTACAAAAACATTGCCTATCAAACAGCAATCAACCAAGTCCCTGGGAATGTCCCTTGTACCCCTAGGAACAATCACAGGGCTCCTTCCAAACACAGCAATGTGGGGTACTCTTGCAACCTCCCCCAGACCAGCAGCCCCTATCTGGCCCCTCACCCATCTCTCTCCACAGGGTGGCTTCCCTCATTATGGAGAGGTCAATAATGACTTTGTCATGCTCAAAGGCTGCATTGCAGGGACGAAGAAGAGGGTCATCACGCTGAGGAAGGTGGGCTGGGAATGGATGCTATGGGGGGGATGAACACCTCGGGCAGGGGTCAAAAGAGAGCAGTCTGGGACAAGCTGGGTGAAATGTACGGGAAAGGGGGGTTGTGGGAGTAAATATGTGAATTAGGGCTGATGGAGGATTCTTCTCTCTCCCAGTCCCTCCTGGCGCATCACAGCCGCCAGGCCCTGGAGAACATTGAGCTTAAATTCATTGACACCACTTCCAAATTTGGTCATGGTGGCTTCCAGACTGCACAAGAAAAGAGGGCCTTCATGGTGAGCCACGCCTGCTCCTGGATTGCTGCCTTTGGTGCCCAAGATGCCTTACTTGAGGGTGGGATGCTGGAGCAGATGACCATGGCGGGATGCCCTGCATTTATTCACAGGAAGGGGGATTTGGGGGTTCTCTTCTGGGTGCTGAGTCTTGGAAGAGAAGGTAGAAACCATTGGAAGGGACATTAGTGCCCACCAGGGGTGACTTAGTGACTACCCAAGAGCTGTGTCCTCAGCCTGTGACAAATGCTCCTCTTGCTTTCCATTCTAGGGCCCCCAGAAGAAGCATCTGGAGAAGGAAAAACCAGAGACCTCCGGAGACTTGTAGGGCTGTGGGATGATCAGAAGAGCAGTGGCTGTTCCCTCTTGTGAAATAAAGAACTTGGCCAGCTCTTCTAGCAGATCGTTGTGAATGAAGGGTGTGAAAAGAGGGCATTGGATCATAGCCTGGTGCTCAAGACTGAAAGCAAGACCAAGGGACTCTAAGGGTCTTGACTTTCCATCTCGCTTCCGGGGACCCCGCGTGCCTGGCAGGCCCCACTTGATCCCCAACACAGCACAGCGGCGCCCCCTGGTGTTTGAGTGGGACAGGGCGGGGCCTTCGGAGGAGCCCTGCAGCCGGCGAAGCTATTCTCAGGGGGCGGGGCCTCAGGGAAATGGCTCTGGAGTGGTTCTTAGTTAGGGTTCGGGACCGTCATTGATGGGCGGGGAAAGCTAGGAAGACCGGACCGGACAGGTGCTTTGGAGCGAGAAAGGCTTCCTAAGAGGGAAGCCGAAACTCGCATCTCAGGGAGCGATTGGTCTTCGGGAGGAGGCGGGGACTTGGGAGGTGGCCGGGGGTGGGGTGATTGACTTGGCTTTCTTGTACGTGATTGGTTTGCTGCATACCATGGGGCGGGAGCCGGATCATGATGACTCATGTGATTGGCCTAGAGAGGAGGAGCCTGGCGTCAGGGAGCGACCTCGCGATCTAGGTCGGTGGCCTCGGGACTTGACTAATCTTGCAGTGGCTTCAGCAGTGCCATGTCTTTCTGCAGCTTCTTTGGGGGCGAGGTTTACCAGAACCACTTTGAGCCGGGTATGGCTTGCGTCTTCCTTCTGAGAGGGCAACGGGGGCGGGGGACACTAAAAAAGGGGCGTCGCTGCCCTCGAGTACTTATGGAATCCTGGACCCCAGGGTGGGGGAAGTAGCGGGGTGAACGTGGATAAGGGGATCGTACAGTAGGGAAGGACTTGAAGGGGGAGGAGACACAAGAGTTCAAAAGCCTCTCTTCAGAGGCTTGTCCAGCAGAGGGGATGGAGAGGTGGGAAAGCGTCAGAAGGGCCAGATGCACAAGTACTGTCCAGAGACCCCTCCTTGGGGCCTCGTCCAGATGTTACTCTGTCTTCCTGTTACTGGTTCTAGGACTTGTAAAGTCCACAGTTACAGAGTGTCCCTTTGGCAGCTTGGTTGGGTAAACAGGAGTGGCCCTATGGCTGTGTTGTGGTCCGGCCCCTAGAGTTTGAAGTTTGACCTGGAGGAGTGAGTGCTCTAAGAAAGGCTGGCAGCTGTCCATGAGGTCCTTACTGGACTGGAGCTGCTTATCAATGGACTAATCTGTTAAATGCAAACCAAAGTCAAGACCAGGGCAGCTGTGTGTCCAGAGGCTGGGTCTCTTCAGGACTGGGACAAGGGGATAACTGGTGCTAGTGTGTCAAGGACCATTTAGGCAAAGCCTTGCCTCGAGATTTTCCAGCAGTCGAGCCCCAAGCCCCACTCCCACGGAGCGAATGTGCTTCTCCTTTGCTTCCTCTTGACATTTCTGGCAAAGGCTGGCAGTTCTCGGACACCCTGGAGGATGTCACTGGGGAGGGGCAGGGAGGCGCGCTAAGGATCCCTGGTCACACAGTTTCCTGTTTTTGGTCTTTCAACTATTTACAAATCTGTTTTGCAACCTCCCTTTCCCCAAAATGATCTTGGTGGTGGTTGTTAGGTGCCTTTGAGTCACTCATTAACAGTTCTGACTCATAGCGACCCCATGTACCACAGAATGGAGTGTTTCCAGGTCCCACACCGCCTTCCAATGTCTGCTGGGCTCGAACCACAGTCCATCCATCTACTTGAGGGTTTTCCTCTTTTGCTGACTCTGCCAAACTCTGTACTTTATACCATGGATACCTGTTCCTCCTGGTGTCCAAAATGAGTGAGACAAAGTGAGATGAAAAAGCATTCTGGCTGTGCTTCCTCTCAGACAACGTGTTCATTCTTCTGGTAGTCCATACTATCTTTTTTTTTTTTTTGTCTTATTTATTCTTTTTTTTTGTTTGTTATTTTTAATGAATGTTTACAGAGACTTTGGATTTCCATTCATTCATTGTTGCACTTTTCTCGCTGTCCACCCCTACCCCCCCCAATTTGCTCTTCTCTTTGAAAAGTAAAAGAAAAATTCTTTTATTGTTATAAAATCCCTCCTCCTAAGTTCACTCCACTATGCAGCCTTCATTCTGGACTCCTGCCATGACAATAATACCTAATCATATATCCCTTTTAAACAGATCTCTCCCTCATCTGTTTCAATGCAATCTCCCCTCAACCTCCATGCCAGTCCCATTTTACAAAAGTGGCACTATGCAATATTTGTCCTTTTGTGACTGAGATATTTAACTCAGCATAATGTCCTCCAGGGTCACCCATTTTGTATATATTTAATGAGATCCTTGTTTTTCAGAGCAGGATAGTATTCCATTGTGTGAATATACAACGGTTTCTCTGAGCCATTCGTTTGTTGATGGGCACTTGGGTTGTTTCCAACTCTTTGCTATTGTGATCAAAGCCATGATACACATGGGTGTGCATATATCTGCTTGAGTGACAGTTATGGTTTCTTTAGGGTATAGTCCCAGGAGTGGAATTGCTGGGTCAAATGGCATCTCTATTTGCAAATTTTTGAGAAAGCACCTTACTGCCTTCCATAGTGGTTGCACCATTTTACACTCCCACCAACAGTGAATAAGGGTTCCAGTTTCTACACAACCTCTCCAACATTTGGTGTTTGCTGTTCTGTTAAATTTTGCTATTCTTACTGGGGTGAGATGATATCTCATAGCTGTTTTGCATTTTGTTTTTGATAAGAGATTATTTTGTTTGTTTTATTTTTTTTCTACCTACCATGCTTGGTTTTTAAATATTTTTATTTATTTTTGTGATTTGAGTGCAAGTTTACAAGGCATACTGATTTTTCATTCAGCCATTCCTAGACATTTTGTTTTGTAACATTAATTACAATACCCACAATGTAATCACACTCTTCCCACTTCTTCCCTGTGATTCTCATTTCCACTAATCTTTTTTTTTTTACCTCCTCCTGCTTTCTGGACTTCCTTCTTGGGCAAATGACTCATCTTATCTTGAGAGATAGGAGAGAGAAAAGAGACCCATTTTCCTGGGCTCCCTGTCTGTCTTGTGACTATTTTTCTCCCACCTGATGAGCTGCCTAGTGGGTGGATGGTCAGTTTCAGCCTTTGGTGGTCACTTGAGGAGGGGAACCAAGGCGAGATGCTTACAGAGTGTCACTGTATGAGACTTGTGTCTGGGGGTGGGGCGTGCTATGTCCTCATCTGGCAGCCTGGGTTTCTTCCTGATTGCACATGGTCCAGCCTCAGCTTCCTCATCTGTAGATGGAAATCCTCCTTTGAGACTTTGGGCAGGTTATCGGGCGGGGCAGTCCTTGGAAAAAGGCATCGTGCTGAAAAGGCAGAGGATCATCGAAAGAGAGGATGCTCCTCAATGAGATGGATTGTTACTGTAACCATAACAACGGGCTTGAGCATGTCAGAGGTGGTGAGGATGGTCCAGCGTGAGGCAAGGTTCAGATCTGTTGTTCATAGGCTCATTATGAGTGGTAGTTAACCTGATGGCACCTCACAACAACAATCACAAATACAAAAGAGACTTGCCATCCCCAGGCTAGCAGAAGGGACAGTTCATGACATCAGCTCGGCTGGCATATGCTCAGAATCAGAGGTAGGCCCTGCTGTCTTACCTGCCGAGGGGCTGGCAGCGCGGCCTGGGGTGATGGCTGGAGGAGGCACTTGGCTCCCCCTGGAATGGCACCCCAGAAAGGCTGCAGCTGGACACTGTTTTGTCTCCTTTTGGCCCTAGGTGTGTACGTGTGTGCCAAATGTGGCTATGAGCTGTTCTCGAGCCACTCCAAGTATGCGCACTCCTCTCCCTGGCCGGCGTTCACCGAGACCATCCACAGAGACAGCGTGGTCAAGCGCCCAGAGAACAATCGACCTGAAGCTTTAAAGGTGGGTGCCCCTGCCTGTGCCCGCTACCCCAACTCCAGGGGCTGAGAATGAGAATATTCAGCCAGGGATGCAGCCCCCACAACCCTGAACTGTTGGGGAATCACTTGATGATTGTGGGTTTGGTTTGGACTTTTAACATTTCTCTGGTGCCTTGGTTTAAGCACTGAGAGCCCTGGTGGCACAATGGGTTAAAATCAGGGTCATTATCCTGAGGGATAGCAGGAGAATGGGCAGTCTGCTTCCACAACCTGTTCTAGTCTCGGACACCCTGTGGGGCAGCCCTTCCTGTCCTGCGGGTCGCTGTGACTCAGAAAGGGCTGGATGGTAGTGGGGACTTGAATACAGGTGATGGGATGCTCTTCCAGCATGGGACAGAGGTCTGCGTCTAAGGCCTCATGTGGCTCTGTGGATTGGTCTTCCCAGGTGTCCTGTGGAAAATGTGGCCACGGGCTGGGCCATGAGTTTCTGAACGATGGCCCCAAGCGGGGACAGTCCCGATTCTGAATATTTAGCAGCTCACTGAAGTTCATCCCCAAAGGTAAGGCAACCTTTCCCCCGGTGGGTTAGTATGCGGGCAATTCAAGTTCTCAGAGGTGGGAGATTGCTGGTTATTATGTGACCCGGGTTCCCTTGCGATGTGTCGGCTGGGTCTGGGGGTGGGGTTGCAGTGCTGTCGTTTCCCTTTCGGAGTCGTGCTGGCCCTTTAGTTTGGTGTTTGGAGTGTGAGTTTGAGGGTGGTGTTTTAACCTTCCGGGCTCCTCTGTTTTGTTTTGTTGGTTTGTCTTCTCTGTTGTGTTTCGCGGCTTCGAGGGGTTTTGGGGCGGTTTTGCTGTGCCGCGCGGCTCTCTGTGTGTCCTCCTGGAGTTCTGGTTACTGAATTTTTTTGTGTTTTTCCTTAATGTGGGATTCAGAGGGTGTGTTTAAGGACCTCTCACACTGCTGATACTTTTGGCCTTTTGTTGTTGCTGTTCTGTTTAGAGAAAAACAAAGATCCTGGTTCTTGGGGGATAAAATGTAGGTTGTGGGGTTGCTAGCCTAGGGAAAAGGGTCTAAAAATGTTTTTTTCCTTCCCCCCCCCCCTTCCTTTCTTGCAGGCAAAGAAACTTCTGCCTCCCTGGGGAAGTAGGCGGGCAGCTCACATTCCCTGAGTGGCCATATGCATTATTTTAATGGGAGCCCACTTCCATTGAGATGTGAAGGCTGAGGCTGGGGCTGGAATCGCAGGGACACAGGAGACATCTCCCAGTAGCCCACACCCCTCAGGTTGGGGTCAGGAGTCTGAGCTTGACCGTGGCCTTGGAACCTTCAGGGCTCAGCTCCTTTCTTTTGTTGGTTTGCACTCACCCCTGTGTTGCCCAGCTTCCAGGGGTGTTCCAGCCCTTTCCAAGGCCAGAGAGGCCATCCCAGTCAACTCCTCCAGCTCTGGTCACTGAATGATTTGCTCTGGTCAAACCCTTCCAGGCCCGCCAGAGTGCTGATAACTCGTGACCTGCTGGGGTTGCAGGTCAACGGCACAATCCCGACTCCGACCCCGAGAAGTGGACCCTTCAACCCCAGACCCCAGTCTGTTGCCATGCCCAGATGGGACCTTTGGGACCTATCCTAGTCCTAGTTCACGCATCAAAGTCTAGCCACGGGAGGAAACAATAAACCAAGATCACTCAGCTGCGCTGTCTTCGTTAATACCACCATCATTTCACTGGTTCCTCAAGTGTCCATCAAGTATGTGCTCCGTCAAGCTGTGCCCAGTGTTGGGGACACAGCCATGAGCATGAGAGGCAGGGTCACACCTGGAGGGAGGAAGGTATGACAGCCTGCTCCCACATAGATCTCCAGGCTCAGAAACCCCATGAGGCAGTTCTGCGCTGTCCTGTCATCATTGTGCACCATCGAGGCAGGACCAGCTCGTAACTGACCCTCCAGCAGGTTTTCAGAGGCAGTAGATCACCCAGGAGGGGATTGTCCATCTTTCTGCCTTGGAGCAGCTGGGGGATTTGAACCACATTCCTTCCATTTGGCAGCTCACCTCCTTTGTCACAAAGCCAGCAGAGCTCCCTATAAGGTTGATAGCCCATTGTTATAGCGAGCGTGTCAGTCCACCTCGCTGAGGGTCTTCTTTGCCCGACACTACTTCCCAGCATGATGTCCTTCACCAGGCACTGGTGGTCCTTCCTGACAATGTTTCTGAAGTATATGAGACCAAGTGCTGCTGTCCTGCCTTCTGAAGAGCACTCTGGCTGCTTTTCTTCCACGATACATGTTTATTCTCTTAGAACTAATGTCACAGGGGTGAGGATTCACAACATGCAGATGATATCACACCAAAAAGTATATCATACTGAATTATGGTCCAGCCAAGATAACATGCATTTTTTTTGGGGGGGACGCAGTACAATCCCTTTTTCTCCTGCATGAACCTCTCTGGGCCCCAAAATGGTCACTGCTCAAGTAGAACCACAGATGACAACAAAATAATAGAAAATTAATCAGTTAGAAAACCTCAGGTAAAAAGACTTGCAGCCAGTGGATACAGAAGTAGCTCTAGTGTAAAACAAACTTTTTAAAGCTAATTATCTTGAGAGGAAAGAAGAGACTTTCTCTTAGTCTGGCACAGTTATCAAACTAAGACCGTTCTGGCGTCCTTTCCCATCTGTTCCTATAATCTGTGGCTGGAGTTTCTCCCAGTAACAGAGTGAGTCCCCAAAAAGATCACCGAGGCAATTAGCCAAATTAACAAAGTTTATTTCAAGTTCGAACCCGGGCTCCCGGATGCTGACACAGCAGCATCCAGCCGAGAGCCCCAAATTGATGTCTGCCCCTCCTTTTATACCTCTGCTACTCCCCTGCCCAACCATACACACCATGATTGGCCATCCACAGTAATTTGAGTATTTGTCCACCTTCAATTGGCTAGCCATAGCTCAGGGTAACAGTTTGGAAACCTATTTGAATTTTATCAGTTACTTCAGATACAGGAATGTGGAAAACTCCTTGTGTTCTTACAGAGAAGAAGAATTCCACTTTATGGCAGTTGATCAATCACGGTGGGATTTACCACAGGTGGGGGTTGTTTGTTAAAAAACCACTCAAGTGGGTGGGGTGGAGTTAACTGAACTTTTTCAGAAACTGAGTTTCTGATTACTGGTCCTTTCATTCCCCACTGGTTTTTCTTAATAAATCAAACCATTGATTTAACAGTTTCAGTGAGATACTGATAATGGGTTTGAGCCATAAGGATTTTAAGGCCTTACATTCATTAAGACCTGAAACCTTTGGTCACTTTTATTTATTAACATCTTCCTTCCTTGAGTTGTTCATTGCCAAGCAGATTTTCTAATCAAGATGGAGTTAGTCTTGCTGGTTTTACAGTACAGGGGTAAACTTGCTATGCAAGTAAGCCAGGCCTCTGCCAGTTCCTCCCTACGGGATGCTGCCTGTCTTAGGTGGGTAAGAGAACTCAAAGTCAAGTTGTCCGTCATTGGGATAAATAGCAATTCATGCTACTCCCTGTCTTAGGATCATGAGCAAGTCTCTTTCCTTACCCATCACTGGCTACACATCCTGCATTCACCTGGGGAGGGCCTTAAGTTGAATTTTATGTACTTCACCCAGCAATTCTTTATAACACTTGGCTAATATATGACCAACACAAGGGAGGATCCATAGTATACCTAGTAAAACAATACAAAGAGCAACAATCGTAAAAAGATTTCTAAATGAAGTTACAGAAGGAAACCAGTTTTTCTGATTTTTTAAAAGTTAGACTAACTTGTTCTGCTGGAGAAATAGCTATATCTAGGGTATTCTGCATTTCTATAATTCTTTGGTGCAAATTATACAAATCAAGGGAATCATTATTAGAAATCTAAACTCCTTTTAAATGAGATACTATTTTTGTCCAATCATTATCTGTGCTATTGTATTTCAATTTAGTAACACAAATTGAGTCATAGGCCGTATGGCATCTTAACTTTTCTTTCATTCTAATTTATTGCACCATGTTTCCTAATACATTTACCATATCATATAAAGCATTTAATTTCTGTTCCATAACTTCATCCACATCTTCTTGCTCTACCCAATTTTTTGTCACATTATGCATTAACCCATTTACAAACTTAGCAGTTTGAACTTCTTTTTTAAAAAAAAATTATTTATTATTTTTGTGTGAGTGTACCGTCAAATCAGATCTGACTGGTACAGGAGGAGAGTGTCCCTCCTTTTCCCAGCAGAGCATCTGGTGGATTCGAACCATGTGCCTCTGGGATTGTAGTTGCAGCTCCTTGCCACTAGGCCACCAGAGCTCCCCTAGCAGTTTGAACTTCTTGAGTTAAAGCTACAGCAGAAGTAGAGACAGTAGCAATCATAGAGATAAGAGAAACAATTCCTGCAATAACAAGAAGTATAACTCTTTTGGCTCTAGATGACAACTTATATAACTCTTAAAATTT